TTGGCGGCGGGGACGCATGTAGACTGGGGCCTTCGGTGGAGCTCCCCATGGGGCCACGAAACGTGTGATGGGTGTGCTGCCATGGGTGGCGGGGACGCATGCGGACCCTGCCACTGGGGCCATTCGGTGGAGCTCCTGGGGGGAAACGACACGTGCGAGGGGTGCGCCGACGTGGGTAGCGGGGACGCATGTGGACGCAGCCACTGGGGCCTTAGTTGGAGCTCCCTGTGGGGCCACAAGCGGAGGGCAGATGCAGGAAGGGGATGAGGGAGGAGGGGGAAGAGGAGCAAGGAGGACGCGGGGCACTGCTGACTCAAGACGAGGACCCAACACCACAGGATTGTTGGGGAAATGCAACGGGTCCACGCTCTCGGACCCCCGATCTCTTGCGAAGTTGTCCGAAATTGGTCAAAGTGGCTTCTGAACGACCCAAGAGCCAGCTATCAAGATCAACATGGGAAGGCTCGAGGGAGCTCCAATAGGCCCCAAAAGAGCAGCAAGGCGGACCAGATATTGCCCTAAGAGTGCCAAAGATTACCCAGTGGGTCCCCAAGAGAGCCAAGAGGGCGAAGTAGAACAGGGGAGGTTCCATGTACGGCCCGAAGATGTTCCCAAGAAGGCCTCAAGTGCCCAAAGGAGGAGGCACAGCAGCAGTAAGAGAATAGTGAGACGACAGCCGACGACAACGACGGCGACGAGGGAGCCGTCGATACCTGGGGCAAGGGTGCGGCATCAATGGCCGAAGACACCAAATAAGAAGTTGTCGCACGTCGCTTAAGAACGGCCCAAAGGCAGTCTCGGAAGCGACCACGAGCATGCGGCACGCCTCGGTCAGGGCCATGTGGCGAATTATCCAGCTGGCGTCTTTCGTCATCCGAGAACAAATCAGGTTGACTGCATCGAAGTTGCCCTTTGACGCCATCTCGCACACCCTCGCGGCAGCGCGGCGCCGATTTATCCGCCAGCACCGCTGGGTGGGCGCCAGGCTGTAGACATCCCTGCCAGACTGCTGCCCTGCTGGCGTCTCTTGTCGTGTGTGAGCGTTTACTGGGGGAGGGGAGTGGGTCTGGTTCTGGACCTCTGCTTAATGCGACTGTTTGGAACTGTGCGTCCCCTGGGGGAGACTCCACCTGCTCAAAACAGGCGCCAACATGATCGACCCACGAACCAGGAAAGGAATATAGACATGTGAGGCATGGCAAAGTTTTCAAGATACCTGCTTGGGCGACGGGCAACTGCAATGCTGAGGGTATCGATCTTGATCTGCCGTGCCAAGGGCTGTGCTGTGCTGCACCGTGCTGAATTGCGATGTGCTATGCCGCGATTGTGCTCTATAGCGATGTGGATCCAGAGCTGCTTTGCATCCGAGTCCTGACCGAACTGATCTGGATCGGAAGCTCGAGTTGCCTGCGCACACAGTAGCTGCCCCAGAGATAATTGACACGGGGATATGCCAGGGGGACGCGCCGCGGAACGTCCCAAGGGACGCGACAGGGGACGGGGTAGGGGACGTGCCATGGAGACGCACCGCGGGACGAGTCCTGGCCGAACTGATCTGGATCTTAAGCTCGAGCTGCCTGAGCAGATGGTAGCTGCCCCAGAACTAATCGACAGGGGGACATGCCAGGAGGACGCGCCGCGGAACGTCCCAAGGGACGCGCCAGGCGACGTGCCAGGAGACGTGCCATGGGCACGCACCGCGGGACGTGCCAAGGGGACGCGCTACAGAACGCGCCAATGGACGTGCTACGGGACGTGCCAAGGGACGCGCGGCCGCCGCGCGACGTGCCGGGCGGACTCGCCACGGGACGCGCCACGGAACGTGCCAGGGAACGTGCCAGGTTGCAATGCTGAATGTATCGATCTTGGTGTACCGCAAGGGCTGTGCTGTGCTGTGCCGTGCTGAATTGCGATGTGCCATGCCGCCATTGTGCTCGATAGCGTTGTGGATCGAGTCCTCCTTTGCATCTGGGTCCTGACCGAACTGATCTGGATCTTCAACTCGAGCTGCCTGACCACATAGTAGCTGCCCCAGAGCTAATTGACAAGAGGACATGCCAGGGGAACGCGCCGCGGAACGTCCCAAGGGACGCGCCAGGGAACTTGCCAAAAGACGTGCCATGGGGACGCACCGCGGGACGTGCCAAGGGGACGCGCTACGGAACGTGCCAATGGACGTGCTACGGGACGTGCCAGGGGACGCGCCGCGCGACGTGCTAGGGGGACGCGCCACGGGACGCGCCACGGAACGTGCCAGGGAACGCGCCAGGCGACGCGCCAGGGAACGTGCCAGGGAACGCGTCAGGGAACGTGTCACGGGACGTCCCTGACCCAGCGCCAGGGCGCCAGGGGACACCCCATGGAAAGGCGGGTTGGACTGCGACGCACTTTACTGCGACAAGCGTCTCGCACGAGACATCCTCAACACATCCTCGTGTTAGACATCCACCTGGGCGACCTGGACACGTGAAACCAGCGTCTCGCTCGAGACGTTCTCAAC